CACCCATGTCGTGCAATGCTGCGGAGGTCAGAAGAGGGCTTCGGACTCCCCTGGAACTGGAGTTAAGGACAGTTTGTAGCTATCATGTGGATGCTGAGAATCCAATCTGGGTCCTCTGTAAGAGCAGTCAGTGCTCTTAACAGCTGAGCCATCTCTTCAGCCCCTATTATTATTGTTATTATTGTTATTATTATTTTATGTCTTAAGGGAGTCAGAGTTCAGCCAGGTGTGGTGGCACATGCCTTTAATCCCAACACTTGGGAGGCAGAGGCAGGTGGATCTCTGTGAGTTGGAGGCCAGCCTGGTCTACATAGTGAGTTCCAGGCCAGCTGGGGCTACAGGGAGACCCTGTCTCAAAATGACCAAAAATAAATAAGAGAGTTGGAGTTCATTTTGGCTTATAGTTTGAGGGGATACAAACCATCCCAGTGAGAAAGCATGGTGTGTTGACAAAGGTCTGGGGTGGACATCATCAAAATGGTTGGTTAGGGAAAGTTTCACTGTTTTTATATATTTATTTTTTTATTCTTTGACAGTGTCCTATATGCATGCAATGAATTTTAGTCAGTTTCAGCCCCATTACCCTCTCATCCCCTTCCCTCTCCTGCTGAAACCTTCCTAACAAATCCCGCTCCTCTTTCAAATCTCGTGCACGTCTGTATGTGTGTCTGTATCTGTGTGTGTGTGTGTGTGTGTGTGCGTGCATGTGTCTGTGTCTGTGTGTGCATGTGTGTGTGCACGTGTCTGTGTGTGTGCACGTGTGTGTCTGTGTGTGTGTCTGTGTATGTGTGCATGTGTGTGCATGTCTGTGTGTGTGCGTTTCTGTGTGTGTGCGTGTGTGTGCGTGAGTGTCTCTGTGTGTCTGTGTGCACGTGTGTGCGTATGTGTGTCTGTGTGTGCATGTGTGTGTCTGTGTGTGTGTGTGCATGTGAGTGTGTGTGTGTGTCTGTGTGTATCACCTCTGGGTTTCATTAATTTTCTCATTTTCTTCATTGACCAATCTGTATTTTTTGTTGACTTGATCACGTACCCTCCTCGGTTTTCCTCTAAGGCTTTTTGGAACCCATTGCTGATTAGATGTCCCTAGAGGGCACCCACATGTCTTTCTCTTGGGCTGTTCCTTTTTCTGTTACTTTGGATACTTTCCAAAAATTCCCTTCTATTTTCTAGTCTTCTAATTTTGTTAACTACAGCAGGCCTGTTTTAAAGTTGAGCTGCTCCTCTGTCATTCTTTCCCTAGTTCTTTAAGCCTAAAATCTTTGATTATTCAGCAACCAAAATCAGTGTTCTGTATTTTGGAAGTTCTTGTTTATCACTCCTCTCTGGTTCTCCACACAGCTTTTCTTCCTGGAGGCGTTCCTCAAGTGCCTTGGATGGTCCTGGGTGTTTGTATGAGTCTCTGTGAGCAGCCATAACCAAATACCAGAGTGGCTGGGGAACACAGGAAAATTCTTTTCTTGTAGCTGGAAGGACAAGATTCAGGCGTTGAGAGGGTCACTTCCTCCTGAAACCTCTCTCCACTCACAGATGGCTGTCTCCTGTCTCACATGTCCTCAGCATGCTTCCCTCACTGTCTTAGAAGGGCATCAGTCCTACAGGATTAGTACATACCTGATGTACTCCTTTAACCTTCAGTGCTCTACTTTAAAGGCTCTTTCACAGATCTGTTACACTGGGGAGGCATATGCAGTCCAGTCCATACCAGTATTCTATTCCACTTGAAAAGCAGGACAAGCCGGATGTGGTGGGGCACACATTTAATCCCAGCACTCAGGAGGCAGGGCCTGGTGGATCTCTATGAGTTTGAGGCTAGCCTGGTCTACATAGCAAAAGACCCTGTCTCAAAAACACCAAAATAAAAGAAAGAAAGAAAAGAAAAGGGGAGGCAGGGCCTGGTGGATCTCTATGAGTTTGAGGCTATCCTGGTCTACATAGCGAAAGACCCTGTCTCAAAAACACCAAAATAAAAGAAAGAAAGAAAAGAAAAGAAAAGAAAGAAAGAAAAAGGGCAATCCTTTGGACTGTCCTATTGGACAGTCTGGCTGTTGAACGAACCAACTTTGGCCACAAGGGAACTAACTGGTTTGTGGGGAGCTCTCCCACCTCAGCATGTGGGTCTTGCCCTTAGGCCTGTTTTCTCCTCATGAGGCAGTTCTCCCATCTCCCACCTCAGCCACAGCAGCCTGGCTTGAGATCCTGTGTGAGGTAGGCATTGAGACCTCTGGTGGTATCTAAATTCCACATCCAGAGGTTTTAATGACCCTCTCCATTCCAGCCTGAGCCTCCCCTGTGGGTTGAGCCTCTCTATCTCCACTTCTCCTGTCTGGGTTTTTCTGTGCACTGGAGGCAAAGAGAGCCTAGCCTCTCTTCTGCTTGCCAAGGCCTCTCCCTACCTCGCCCTGCTCACTTCCTGGCCCTGAGCTGGGCCAGCTTCACAGTCCTCTCACTGCCACACAGACTGTGACTTCCTCTTTCCTTCCAAATGGTGACCACATGACCTATAGCTTTCTGTCTTGTAAGTATGTATTAATATCTCATATGCACTGGGTGGGGATGGGACTCAGTTGGTAGAATGCTTGCCTAATATAAACAAAGCCCAGGATTGGATTCCTAGCACCACTTAAAACCAGGTGTGGTGACACATACCTATAATCTCAGCAGTTAGGAGGTAGAGACAGGAGGATCAGAAGCTTGGGGTCATCCATGTCTACATAATGAGTTTGAGGCCAGCCTGGCCTTGGCTACATGAGACCCCGTCTCAAAAACAAAACAAACGAAAAAACAAACCTTACACTGTATCTGCAGAAATGATTCAACAGTTTAAGAGCACTTAATGTTCTTGCAGAGGATCCAAGTTTACTTCCCAGCACCCACATCAAATGACTCACAACGGTCTGTAAATCTAGCTCCAGGGGGAGCTGATGCCCTTTTCTGGACTCCATAGGCACCTGCACTCATGTGCACATACACTACCCATAGACACACATGCAAACACATAATTAAAAATAGAAATAAACCTTCAAGAAATCTCACGTGCATTCATGCCCCCCAATCTCTTTCCTCATGAGAGTGCCTAGCTTTATGTCTATTCACAGTTGTGTTGAGAGGAGACAGATACCTGCATTTAGTCTGTAACCTCTGAAAGAAGTCGTAATGCTTTCTTCGATTTCAGACATAAGGTAAACACAGCAAAGTATCATGGGTGCTCTGTGTGTCACCTAGCTGTTGAACCTCAACTTTTGCCATATGTGCTGCAGAACTTTTCAAAAGCCGTCGAGTAGAATGCAGCAGGTGCTGTTCTCCCAGGGAGGCTGAAACTGGATAAGAGATGATAAGGCTCTTTCATCTTATTTCCTTGAACTCTGTGCTCAAGAGTAGAGGCGAAGATTTTAATACATACTGCACGGGGCTTTTTGGTTTTGTTTGTTTGTGTACTTGTTTGTTTGTTTGTTTGGAGATAGAATCTCACCATAGCCCCAGCTGGCCTAGAACTCACTATGTAGACCAGACTGACCTCAGTCTCGCAGAGATCTGCCTGTCTCTGCTTCCTGAGTGCTGGAATTAAAGGCACATGCCACTCCATCAGGCATATACTGTCTCTTCTATATTGATGTATCTGAATGTTAAGTAATCTTATGGATATCTGCATTAAAAATTTTTGTGATAGAAAAGAGGTATACTCTATGTATGGGGAAAATATCAAAAAGGATTGCTTTTAAAACATTAAAAACTGAATTTAAGTCAAGTGGATGATGAAAACACCATCGAAATATCTAATACAGTCTCTTAAATCACTCCAGCTTAGGAAATTGAAACCCAGACCTTCAAAAATGCGAGACCAGCAATGAGGAATACTGCAATTCAGTGTTTATTCTGTGGCGCCATTGCAGCCGGGCTTTGGGTAGCTGTGTTCATTGCACACTTCCTCTGCCATCAAGTGAGTGAACTGCAGGAGGTAATCCAGGAACCCAGGATTGGTTCCTTGGGAAAATATGCGAACCAGCAAATCCGCCCCTCAGAGAAAATTTCCAAACAGCATATGATAAATGGCAAGTCTGGTCCAAATAGACCTGAAAAACCAAAACTACACCCAAACTTAGGTAAGAATCGTGATCTGTTAACCACTTTAAAGGGAAAACACACCACAAGTTTAATATTTGGAAGAACAGAGGATGCACAGAAATTTGCAACCAGACACACATGCGTTTGTGTAGGTTGGCTCCAAGTGGCTTCAAGAAGCTTTTTTCCCAAGATATGAATGCCAATAAACACAAAAGAAACAGTGCTTCCCTCCTACCAGCCTCAGAGGCAGCTGCTGGTTATACCCTTCCATGCTCTCTGGTACTATCACTCAGTGGATCTGATTCTGCAGTTTCTAACATCTCTGTACATATTCTGTGGCAATATCCTTTTGGAATCTGCTCTTTCACCACTAATCATTGTAAGATTTTGCTCCATGTTTACACACATGATAACTTGATATGGTGGTTTGAATGAGGAATATCCCCCATAAGCTTGTGTATTTGGACATTTAGTCCATAGTTGGTGGCACTGTTTGGAGAGGTTATGGAACCTTTAGGAGGGTTAGCCTTGCTGGGAGAAGGATGACACCAGGGTTGGCTTTGAGAGCTTGTAGTCTGGCCCTTCTGGTTCACTCACCTGGCTTCCTGCAAGATGAAATACATCAGCCAGCTTCTGGCTCCAGTTCGCAGGACCCCTCCCCCCACCATTATGAGCTCTTCCTCTGGAATCATAAGCCCAAATAAGCTTTTCCCTCTGTGAGCTGCCTTGGCCATGGTGTTTTATCACAACAACAAAAAGTAACTAAGAAAATAAACCTCTCAAAGATGGGGAGAATAGAGAACTAATGGTTTAAAAGCCACATCTGTGCGCTGTGTGGCCCTGGAGCACTGTTGTGGGTTCTATGTAGGAATATGACATGGAACAGCCCCTCCTCAGCTCCTCAGGGAAAACCCTGAGCCAGGCTTTCTCTCTTCTCCTTCTGCAACTCCTATAATACACGTTTAGCTCTTTAGCTACTCCACAGGTTCCTAAGGTTTTCTCTTTCTAGTTCATCCTCTCTCTACGCCTCATCTACACCAGTCCTACTGATCTGACCTCAAATGTCCTGACTCTGGTCAGTACTCTATGTAACCCATGGAGTCAACTTAGGTTATTGCATGTTTCACGCCTATAATTCCCTTTCTGTGTGCACATATGTGCAACTTCTGTTGCTTTGCTGAGATCTCCCCCCCCCCCTTTGCATTTGCTTGAAGGGAAGTGCCATGATGGCTTCACATCTGAGCCAGTTTAGTCAACCTGATTCTGCTCAGCATTGAGAATTCCACTGGAGATCGTACTAGTTCTTGGTATGACCCACGGTTTTCTGTTGATCTTGGCCACTGAAGATATTGTGAGACTTTGTATCCAGAGAGGTTTAGCACAGTGGAAGCAGAGTTCAGCTGTAAGCCTAGCACCCACAGAAATCCAGAGATAGCCACAAGAACCGAATCTTAAAACTGTACTTGGTTCAGAGAACCATCTTGTCTCCAGCCAGCAGATTATTAAGAGGGCAGGGACAGAGGCAATTGGTCTCTTAGAGCTCAATCTTGCCCCTCTGGTCAGGTGGTTGGCCACGTTTCTGAAACTTGTGATGTCTTTGTCTCTCTTGCCATCCCTGTACTCTTCCCTCATTCTGTGAATGTTGGGTTCAGGCACCTCTTTTGAAATGTTAAATCTAGGGGCCGGAGAGATGGCTCATTGGTTAAGGGCACTGGCTGCTCTTGCAGAGGATCTGGGTTCAGTTCCCAGCACCCATGTGGCAGCTAACTTCACCTATAACTTCAATTCCAGGGGATTGAACTCCCTCTTCTGAGGACACTGCATGATACAGATGTACTTTCATGCAGGGAATACACTCATACACATAAAATTTAAAAAAAAATATTTAAAAACTAACTAAAAAAATGTTAACTCTAGTTAGTTGCTACCAGTATCAACATTGTCCTCCTCCAGAAGCATTTGAACTAAGACAGAGTCACCTCAGAACAAACAGACCATCAACAGTGTGTACGTGCTAAGCCAGTAATAACAGGTACATGCTGATTCCTTTCTATGTTATGGAGCACAGGTATGCTATACAAACAGAACATAAAAGTGCTCCTATCAGTCCCTTCCCTTCCCTATTAGAAGGACCAGGTAAATGTGTGTATTCTGTCCCTTGCTGATACACAAGCACCCACCCCACCCCCAGGCTATGGTGCTGCTTGCACACAGCTCTGGAGTGGGAATTTAGCTCCCTTTTGGTCCCCATTGAAATGAAGCATGGACTTGTCCTGGAACACAATGCTAGTTCTGCCTCTCTTCCCCCTCATTGTGCCTCATTGACACGAGAGCAAAAAGTTTAATTCCCCACTGGATCTCACCAGTAGCAGGTTCAAGGAGAAATAGAATATCAGCTATCCTGGCTCACGCAACCTTTCTCTTATAAGAGTGGACATTTAGCTCCCCTCTGGGCCTTACCAATAGGAGGAGGAAGGTAGGGTAGAAGGCTATCTGACCCTCCTCTGCCCCACCTTGCTATCAGGCGGGGTTGGAGGTTCAACATTCCACTGACACTATCTCAGGGAGACTACGTCACCTGCTTACACCAGGTGAGGTGATCAGTCTCCTAACCACCCAGGGGGGTGATCACTGCCCACTGTTGCCCACCTTTGGTCACACTGACACCACTAGGTGGGGCAAAAGGAACAGTGCTGTTTGTTTCCTGAGGGGATGGGAAGTTCTAGGCTAGAGCAGGTATTGCCAGGGGCTTTCTGTGGCTAGCCTACCCTTTTCCCAGCTCTTTGGTCTAAGAGAAAGGGTTAACTTGGAGGTTTGTTGACGTAGTTTTGTCTGTAGCTACTGCTGTTTAGGTCTGAGGCATCTGCAGCCCTCTGTGGGATTTATGGGAGAAAAAAATATTCAGGGAGTTCACCACACCCCTCTAGGTCATGGTCTCCTTGCTTCTGCCTTTCAGAGCCCTCCTGTACTTACCTGCTAAGTGTAGAATTTTTTCTGTTGTAAGAAAGAAGATCTGGGAGGAACAGGCTATTCCATCTTGACCAGAACCCCTTTTATATATTTTTTTATTTTGTTATTTTTAATTTTATGTGTATGCGTGTATTGCCTGCACGTAGGTAAGTGCACCCATGTCATGCATTGCCCGCGGAGGACAGAAGAGGTTGTTGGATCCCCTGGAACTGGAGTTACAGACAGTTGTTAGCTGCCATGTGGGTGCTGGGATTCAAACCCCGGTCTTCTGCAAGAACAGTCAGTGTTCTTAACCACCTAGCCATCTCTCCAGCCTCCCAGAACCCCCTTTATACACAGCCTTTATCTTCAAAGCAGCCTTTGTGCATTTGAGGGCAAGTTAATTCTCTAGGAAGCAGAGTACAGTGTGTCCACTAAGGAATCAATTATGATGTTCAAGTTCTTCTCTGATCCAGAGTTTTGGAAGTGTCCATGACTGCCTTCTTGTGGGGGTGCATGTTGATGTCTCTTTGGTCAAAGCATTATCTGGGCTCTTGGCTATTAAAATCTCTGTCGTAGCTTCTGTGTCATGGTAAAGTCACTATGCTCCTGTCCCCAAATGGTAGACTGTTTAAAATGATATTTTTCACTTCTGTTTTCTTTGACCATCCTTTTATTCTTAACTATTTTTGTGCCTTTTATCTCCTATGACTTTGTCTTTAGTCCCACCTAAGAGTTGTCTTCCGCTAGGGAATTTGTCCCAGTCTCACTGATTGTTATGACTGCTGTGTTTGAGGTTTCCTCCAGTGCTGTGGTTTTTTAATTCCATCTACAGGAACTTGAGAAGAGAGACTTCCTTCACTGTCCCTCAGTCTTTCCATACTGGGCCCTCACAGTTGAGAACCACAGTGGCCCCTGTGGTGATCAATAGTATCAATAATCCCCTAGAATACAAACCTCGGGGCATGCCCATAAGGGATTACTGAAGTTAGGTTAGCCCTGGCCTGTGAAGCATTCTCTTGATTGGTTAACTGAAGTGGCAAGACTCACCCTAAGTGTGGGTGGCACATTTCCTGGGCTGGGTCCTGGGCTGCATAAAAAGGAAAAAGCAAGCCGAGCGAGCTGCAGCACTCCTTGCCCTCTGCTTCCTGACTGCAACACAACTAACCTCGTCATGTCCTTGCTGCCGTACCTTCCCCTCCAACCCTCCTTGCCCTCTGCTTCCTGACTGCGATGCAACACAACTAACCTCGTCATGTCCTTGCTGCCGTACCTTCCCCTCCAACCATCAGCCCAAACAAACCCCTCCTTTCTTAAGTTACTGTCCTCGTGGTATTTTATCAGGGCAAGGGAAAAGTGATTAAGACAGCATCAAAAGGCTGGGCATCTTCCACCGTGGAAAATTAATGACTGTGCTTTACTGAAACGTTTGCTTTGGTTCCTGTAAACATTCTGTGCTTTCACCTTGTCACCTGGGGTGGTTTAGATTTTAAGAGAAAGACTCGGGATAACATTTCTCTTGTCTGCATCCATGTGACAGTAGAAAGCCTCCACTTGTGTGACTCTAATTATCTTTTCTTACAGATAATGTGACTAAAACCACAGACCCAGAATTTTTCCATGAACTTTTCAAATATGGATTTAATGCCTTCTTCAGTAGAAAACTGGGCTACGAGAGAGAGGTGCCAGATTCCAGGAGTGAAATGTATGTGCTCTCCCTGACCAGACTTCGGTTTCAGCACCTTAGAAATCTTGTAGTATAGGTTCTTGTTTTTAGGATTTTAAGTCAGGCAATGTCTAGAGCCTATATCAAAATTCTTCAACTTAAGGCTGGACATGGTGGCGCATGCCTTTAATCCCGGGACTCAGTAGGTAGAGAGAAATGGATCTCTGAGTTCAAGGCCAGTCTGGTCTACATAGAGACTTCGAGGCCAACCAGAGCCACACTTGAGGCCCTGACTCAAAAATAAAATAAAAGATTCTACAGTTTGTGGTATAGATACTCCCATCCCCATGGGCAGAGTATGCTCTAGAGGTTTCCAAGATCTAAGTCACTGGAAGGTCTTTTAACTCAGTCTCCAATAAGGGTCTCTGGCCAATGCAGATTCAGTCCCAGTAGAAAATGCTTCAGATATCTGCCTATTTATTTTTCCTTAGAAGGGTGCCATATTTTTATTAGTCCTTCAATTATTTGTGTTAATTGTGGTAAAATGCACATAGCGTAAAATTACCATGTAAACCATTTCTTATTTATTTTTATTTTATGTGTATGAGTGTTTTGCCTGCATGTATGTGCACCCATGTGTGCAATGCCTATGCAGGTCTGGCCAGGCATCTGATCCCTTGGAACTGGCATTAAGGATGGTTGTTAGCTGTCATGTGGGTGCTAGGCACTGAATCTGGCTCTTCTGTAAGAGTAATCAGTGCTTTTAACCACTGACTCATCTCTGCAGCCCCGATGTGAACCATTTTTAAGTGCACATTTCAGTGACTTTAAGCACAGTCATCTGTTGTTGAAGCATAGTAAAACCCAGACTGAAACTCTGTACCCATTTCCCCAGGCCCTGGCAGCTCCCAATCTTCTTTCTGTGCCTGTCTTTTGGAGGACTGGCATATTTCATTCAGCACAACATTAATTCCTTTTAATATCATTCAAGTTCCAATTATTTCCTGGAAAAGAATATAAATTCTCCTTTGGTTAAAAGAAAAATATTTAAATTAAGGAATTAGACATTTTCTAGTAATTTAGAAATCAATGCCACATTCCAGGAAAGTAGAACGTGGGGACATGTTGCCTTTATTGTGACTCATGTGTAACACAGACATTTGGAGCCACAAATGCCCACTCATGATCTGCTCATTCAAGAAATGAGTGTTTGCACATAATGACACAGTGTAACTGGGTCATAAGAAAAGAAAGAGAATTGGGGATGGGGGAGATGTGGTCGAGGGTTTGTCTAGCATATGCGAGGCCCAGGGTGGATCCCCAGCATCACATACACTAGGGGTGGTAGCACATGCCTGTAATCTCACTGCTTGGAGGTGGAGGTAAGAGGATCAGAAGTTCAAGGTCATCCTCAGCTGAATATCTCCCCTCCCCTGACACCAAAGAAAAAGAAAGAAAATGAATTTAAATGTGCTCAAACTATAAAACATGGTATGAATTTAATTTAGAGAGCAATATTTAAATCAGCTTAAGATTTAATTGCCTCAAAGAAAAGTCAATATTTTTAATTCCCCCAAAATTATAAATCTCTCTCCATGCCATTGTTTGTCTCCAAATCTCATCTGAAGTCATGTAACTGCCCCTGCCTTCTTTCTTCCATCACATAGTTATTTGTTAAGAAAAACAAAGTTTAGAGAGTCTTGTCCTACAATAAAAGTGGACTTGGCAGTTTGAGTATTCAAAGTATGAACATAGGGGGCTGGAGAGACAGACAGCTGACTGGTTAAGAGCACTGGCTGCTCTTGCAGAGGACCCATGTTCAGTACCCAGCAGCCACACCACAGCTAACAACCACCTATAACTTCAGTTCCTGGGGATCTGATGCCCTCTTCTGGCCTCTGTGGATAATGTGTGCACATGGTACATGTCCATATCAGCAAAATACTCATATACATAAAATAACAAGTAAAGAAACCTTTAAAATATAATCAAAGTGCCTGGCATGGTGGTGCACACCTTTAATCCCAGCACATAGGAGACAGAGGCAGGTGAATCTCTATGAGTTCAAGGCCAGCCTGGTCTGCTTACATATCGAGTTCCAGGCCAGCTGGAGCTACAGGGAGACCCTGTCTCAAAAAGACCACATACACAAAAAATCTATTCTTGTGCTGGATAGCTAGTTGTTAACTTGACACACTTAGGTAGAGGGAGCCTCAACTGGGTAATTGCCTCCAACGGACTGACCTGTAGCCATGCCTGTGGAGTATTTTCTTGATTGTTGAGTGATGTGGGAGGGCCCAGACTACTGTGGGCGGTGCCACCCCTGGGCAGGTTGTTCTGTATCATATAAGAAAGCAGGCTGAGCAGGGGCCAGGAGAGCAAGCCAGTATGCAGCGTTCCTCCATGGTCTGTGCTCCAGCTCCTGCCTCCAGGTTCCTGTCTTGAGTTCCTACCTTGGGTTCCCTGATGAACTCTGACCTGGGAGATGTAAGCCAATCAAACCTTTTCCTCCCCAGTTGGTACTGGTCAGAGTATTTTGTCACAGCAATTGAAAGCAAATAGAACAGTTCTCTTAGCAGGTTTCAAAGTCAGTGGGGTTTTTTTTGTTTGTTTGTTTGTTTTGGGGGTTTTTTTTCTTTAAAAAATTTTATATATCATTTTTATTTTATGTGTATGTGTGTATTGCCTGCATGTAGGTAAGTGTACGCGTGTCGTGCAATGCCCGTGGAGGTCAGAAGAGGCCGTTGGATCCCCTAGGACTGGAGTTATGGACAGTTGTTAGCTGCCATGTAGGTGCTGAGGATTTGAACCTGGGTCTTCTGCAAAAACAACTAGTGTTCTTGACCACTGAGCCATCTCTTCAGCCCCCAAAGTCAGTGTTTTAGTCACCATACCAATCATTCTGGACAATGGAAATCTTGATCAGGCTCTCCCTGTGTGGCTGAACTTGTGGATGCTTTGCCAAACATTTTCCCAATCCTCCGTCCTCACCCTGCCCAGTAATCACTTTGCTGTTCTATGATGATTCCAACTGTCTTACATCCACATTTACATGCGATCGAGCAGTATTCACCTTCTTTCTCCACTTATCTTCACTTTATATCTTCTACCTATCAGGAAAACAACTGAATTTTCTATTTTTAAAAAGTTACATTTAATTATGTGTGTGTACGCACAGGTGCACATGTGTGCATGTGCCGCAGTGTGCCTGGGGCATGGGTAGTCAAAGAACAACTTGTAGTGTTCATCACTCTCTTTCCACCACGTGTGTGAGTCCTGGGGGTTGAACTTAGATTAATTTGGCTTGGTGGCACCTACCTCTATCCACTGAGCTACCTCACCAGTCTCAAGTCCCAGAAGTTTCTATTTTAAAGCCAGATAGCATTCCACCATGTTCATCTATTTCACTCATTCATCCACGATGGGTACTCTGGTTCTTTCTGTATCTTGACTACCAAATGATGCTTTGATAAGCAGGAGAGGACATCTTCTATGTGCTTACTTTACACCCTTCTGATGTATATCTCAAAGTGGAATGGCTGGGTCACACTGTTCTCCACGGTGCTGCGCTGAGCACATTTCTCCAGCAGTGCACAAGGGTTTCCTCCTCCACGTTCTTAATCTTTTTTTTTTTCTTTTTGTCTTTTGAGACAGGGTCTCCCTGTAGCCCCAGCAGATCTGAATCTCACCAAATAGACCAGGCTGGCCTCAGTCTCAAAGAGCTCTGCCTGCCTCAGCCTCCTGAGTGCTGGCATTAAAGGCATGCAATCACCATGCCCTGCCCTGACTTATCTTTTGATAATGATCATTTTAACAAATGAGAGTTGGCATTTCATCATAGTTTTAATTTACGTTTTCCTGATGATTAGTGACAGTGAGTATTTTTTAGGTATTTCTACTTATTGATCATTTATATTCTTTTGAAAAGTGTCTCGTGTATCCCAGGCTGGCCTTGAACTCACTATGTAGCTGAGAATGATCTTTAACTTCTGATCCACCTGTCTCCACCTCCCGGGTGCTGGGATTTCAGGTGTGCATCACCACTATGCCCAGTTCTGTGTGGTGCTGGGGATCGAGAACTGGGGCTTTGTATGTGCTAGGTGAGCATTCGACCATCTGAGCTACATCCTCAGACCCTCCGCCAACTTTCATCTTTTGCATGAAAAGGGTTTTCTTGCCACCATGTTGTTTTAGCTTATGCAACCTGGCTATCAACCTCTCATCACATATGCCATTCGAAAATGGTTTCCCTTACTCTGAAGCTTGTTTCTTCACCCTGCTGATTATATATTTTGCTGTGCAGGTTGTTAGCCTGGCTTATTGTGGCTTTTGGTGCTGTGCTCTTGGGTCCTATCCACTTGAATGCAGACTTTGCTTGCCCACTGCTCTCGTCTACTCAGGTCTTATCTGGCTGTCACCTCACACATTCTCAATTCCTGCCAGCTTCTACTTGGCAGCTGCACTTCCTATAACCACATCCAACGGGGCAAAAATGTTGACCAGGCTAAACCCTCTCTTCCAGGATGCCTTCAGTCCATCACATCCTGCGGGTGCATACACTGCAATTCCTGTAGGCTTATCTGCCCAACACCACCTGCCCTGGAAGTGTCCAGGAAGCATTTCTTCTTTCACATGGGGGATTTGGCACTAGCTGATTAGCCCAGAGCCAATTAGATTTTCCCCATAAATTTTTGTTCATGGGGAAAAGAAAGTGATTTATCCTTGGATGCTGGATTATAAGATAGGCTGATATGGGGCTGGAGAGATGGCTCAGTGGTTAAGAGCACTGGCTGCTCTTGCAGAGGACCTGGGCTCACTTCCCAGCACTCACTTGATGGCTAACAACTGTCCGTAACTCCAGTACCAGGGGATCCAACACACTCTTCTGACCTCTGCAGGCATTGCACAACACGGGTGCACTTACATACATGTAGGCATTACACTCATACACATTAAAAAAAAAAAGAAGATAGGCTGATATCAACCACATTTCCTAGTCTGCAGAGTTAAAGTAGAAACAAGACAGACAGATTTCAGGTTGAGGCTTGTGTCTAATGGTGACTGAATGCGGGGTACTGCTCTGAGCATTTTACCTGTTAACTCATCAAATCCTAAACAACCCTTTGAGGTAAGCTGGGGCTGCTGTTAGTTATCATCCCTGTCATTAGCACTGCCAGATGCAAGAATGAGAACAATGGTAGAATGCGGTCCGGATACCCTCAAGCCTGGCACAGTGAGTTCTGCCAGCCTCCAACCATCCTCCTGTATCTAGGACTTGCGGGTATTTACAGCACGTTACAATACACTTCCTTCTATTTTGCAGATGTTAGTACCAAACAGTAATTTATAGTCGATAATTAAAACCACTAGATCTCAACTTCTGTTTTTCACTCATGGGTACTAAAACAATAATAAAATCCTTTTGTCAAGTAGTTGGAGGAAACGTAGTTCCATGAACTCTACTATAGTTTTTATCCCCAGCAGATGGGACAAATATAAAAGTATCCGCCCCAAAAAACAAGCAGAAAGAATAGCACAGTGAGCTTTCTTTGAAGATGTCTTTGAATGAATTTAGAAATCCATTTTTATTTTCTTTGTTAAAAAATATTTTATTTATTATTTTATGTATATGAGTGTATTGCCTGCATGTATGTAGATGCACCCATGTCATGCAATGCCCTTGGAGGTCAGAAGAGGGTGTTGGATCCCTTGGGACTGGAGCTAAGACAGTTGTTAGCTGCCACGTGGGTGCTGGGAATCAAACCCTGATTCCCAGGGGTCCTCTACAAGAGCAGTCAATGCTCCCAACCACTGAGCCAACTCTCCAGCCCTTTATTTCCTTCTTTTTTTGTTAATGTGTATTTTGCCTGCATGTATGGAAGTGCACCATGTGTGTACAATGCCCACAGAGGCCAGAGGAGGGTGTCAGATCTCCTAGAACTGGGGTTACAGGCAGTTGTTAGCTGCCATGTAGGTGCTGGGAACTGAACCCAGGTCCTCTGCAAGAGCAGCCAGTGCTTTTATATATATCAATCAAACAAACAAGCTCAAGGTTACTATGTTTGTTTGTTTTTTTTGTCGTTGTTGTTGTGTTTTGTCTTTTTGAGACAGAGTCTCTCTGTGGCCCGAGCTGTCCTGGAACTCACTATGTAGACCAGGCTAGCCTTGAACTCACACAAATCCACCTGCCTCTGCCTCCAGAGTGTGGAGATTAAAGGTGTGTACCACCACATCCACCACGGCCAGTGTTCTTAACCTCTGAACCATCTCTCCAACCCCTAGAAAGTCATTTCTTAAATATTTTATTTATTATTTTTATTTTATGTGTATGAATGTATTGCCTGCATGTGTGTCAGTATACCTGTGTCATACAAAGCCCACAGAGGTCAGAAGAGGGCGTCAGATTCTCCTGGAACCACAGTTGCAGACAGTTGTTAGCTGCCACGTGGGTGCTGGGAATCAAACCCAGGTCTTCTGGAAGAGCAGCCAGTGCTCTTAACCACTGAGCCGTCTCTCCAGCCCTCAGAAAGTCATTTTTATAGTAGACACTAGAATACGGATATAACTTGTGTTCATATTATCTTTAAAGTAGACCTAAGATTATCAAAACAGAATGTCAAGAAAGGGTAATCAAGAAGGGGAAAATAATTCTAGTGTTAGCCCAAGAGTTCAGATGAGGCAGCAAGTAGCAGGAGTGCACCTGAGTTTGATCCCCAAAGCCACACGATGGAAGGGGAGAGCTGACTCTACAAGCTGTCCTTTGACCACGGCGCTCCACGCAAATGTAAAGAAGTTTAAGGAACTAAATTTTTTGGACGCTTTTGCATCTGAATTTCTGCGTTTTTAGACTTACTGTCATCGTGTTGTCCTCATGCTCCGTTGAAGGAAAAACAAAGTAAGGAATGGCTTTGAAGAAGACTGCAGAACCTTTGAGGTTCTCAGATGAATCTTTCTCTCCCTATTATTTTTCCCTACAGATGTCGTCAGAAACGCTACTCACTCCGCTTACCCACTGCTAGTGTCGTCATCTGCTTCCATGACGAGGAATTTAATGCCTTGTTCCGAACAGTGTCCAGTGTGATATACCTCAGTCCCCCACATTTACTTGAAGAGGTTATTTTGGTGGATGACATGAGCGAATTTGGTGAGACAGACACTATTGTCTAACCTACTTAGAAGGTGCACTCTTGCTAGTGATGTTTGAGCCTGTGTTGTTATTGTTGTTTTGGGAGCTGATCTCCTATAGCCCAGTCTAACCTCAGACTGGCTTTGTTCAAAGGTGACCTTGAATTCCAGATTCCCCTGACGCCACCTCCCAAGTGCTGGGCTCATGGGTGTGCTCCAACATGCTCTGCTTGGCACATGTGTATTTCTAACAAAAGATGTTTCTGGCTGGTGTTGAGGGAGACATTGTATCAGGTGCCCTTAGTCCACCCAGTGCCTGGCCTGTGTCTATGAGGTCAGTACAGGGGACAAGCCTTGTCTTTAGAGATCACTTCAGGAAGAAGTGCCATCTAAATGGAGGTTGGACAGATGAGTTAGAGTTATCCAGGTAGTGGGAAAGGAAAGATATCTTAGATAGAAGGACCAACACTGTAAGGCCCAAAGAGAAAGAAAACAGGGTGAGCTTGGAATATCTCTGCCTTTTATGCAGTCCATACAGTAGTATAGTGTTGGAAGGATGTGGGGAAAGTTATGAAGTCAGAGTTATTAAAAGGGAGCTGCTCATAAAGTGCCTTTTTGGAAATTTATCTCAAGAATATTGGGCGCTGTGTCTCGGAATGCAGCTCTCTTAGCAGATTGCTTGCCCAGCAGAAGCCTTGGACTGGATCCTCAGAACTCTACATGCTGAATGTGACGCACCTGTAATCCAAGCACTGGGGAAGTGGAAGCAGAGGGTCAGGAGCTCAAGGTCATCCAGCAAGTTCCAGGCCATTATAAGTTATATGAGACCCTGTCTCAAAAAAATGTGGATGGGGCTGGAGAGATGGCTCAGCGGTTAAGTATTAGGGTTTCAAACAGCAGCAGCCTCCCCCCTCCCCAACAGGTCCTATGGACTTTGGATTTTTCAAGCCTGAAAAAGGGAACTGAGCTGATAAGCACCTTGGCCTTTGAAGTCAAGGGAAGCAGATTCTTCTAAGAGGCAGCCTGCCTTTCCTCTGATCTCTGAAGACAAGATAAGCAGATTCTGCCTGTTAACCAGAGATTTTAGGAGCTGTTTTAGTACAGCAGCTTTTCCCTCATCTTAGGAGGACAAAAAAGTAAACACTTCCTGACCCAGATCCTGGCTGGCAGACGGAACGGAGGCAGGTTTATAAGACCTGCTTTTCCTGCTTCCCCCGGCCTGATTTTTCCCAAAAAACTTCCCGCCTTCAGCACCCTGAAGCCCCCATATATAAGCCCCAGCTCACAATCTGTGGGCATTTTCCCTTGCCCAAAGGGAACGTGTCCCCCGTGAAATAAAGCTCTAACCCGCTGAGAGTTTTACCTGTGTCTCGGTGCCTCATCCTCCATTCGCTCGTTCTCCGCCAACTTTTTACCTATCATTAAGAACACTGGTTGTTCTTGCAGAAGACCCGGGTTCGAATCCCAGTACCCACATGGCAGCTAACAACTGTCCATAACTCCAGTCCCAGGGGAACCGACAGCTTCTTCTGACCTCCGCGGGCATTGCATGACACGCGTACACTTACCTACATGCAGGCAATACACACATACACATGAAATAAAATGTGGAAAGGAAAGGAGGGAAGGAGAAAGAAAAAGAGAGAGGAGCAAGGAGTGAGGAGAAAGAAAAAGGAGAAAATATAAAGAGTTTGTTCATTAGAGCTTAAAACAGGGACATGACCTGATTGTATATACTTCACAGGAAGGAACTCTGATTGGACCAAGAACCGGTAAGTGCTTGTTCCTCTAAGTCATTTTAACCAAATGCTGATACTAATCCCATTAACTTGAAATACGTTGTCTGTTTTACAAGTGAGCACAAGCCAGGACTGTTCAAATGAGGATATCAACATTGAGGAGATTTTAGGCCTGTAAAGCCCACCTAGCCCACTGGAAATCTGGCCCACAGTAAGCTGGGAAAAAAAGACATCCCAGGAGGGCCACACTGTGGGAAGGGACACACGGCAGCTCTGGAGTGTGACCCAAGCTAATGTCGCTATGTTTGGAAGTTCAGATATTGGTCAGGTGCCTACCATCCCCACGGAGTCACCATGGGTTGGGTCACCCATGATCTCCTGTCTGCTGGTTCTAACCAAAGGGACTGGCAGCTTGCTGAGCAGGAAGTCACAGTAAAGCTGGGTACAGGGTACAGGGTACAGGATCCTTGACTAAGGAGTTCTGCTTCTTATCCAGAAACCCAAGGATCCTACGATAAGTACAGGGTTCCAGGATAAGCACTTGTGCCAGCCTTTCAGAACACGACCAGGTGTCTAGAGACACGCTTGGCATTTGCCAGTTTGACCACCATCAAATAATGCACTAGAAGGGGTGGCTTGAGCAGCACGCTGATTGAGACCAGGGTGCCGACAGGACCAGGTTGTTGGTACAGACATTCTTTCTGCTTTTTAGGCAGAGACTTGGCTCTGTCCTCTTGTGCATCAAGCCAGCTTTTGGGTCTCTTCTTATAAGAACACTAATCCTACTCATGAGGTTTCCATCCTCATGACCTAACATTTTCTGAAGCCCCAACCTCCCAAGGCCACCATGATGGTGTTTTTGACATATGTACTTAGGGGTAGAAGACATAAACATTCAGTCAATATCTGGCAACCTGTATTTATCCACCATGTTGGCCCCCCTTCATAAGAGACTAAGAGGGTTGGTCCTGATGGCCAAGACCTGAGTGTGCTGGCCAGCACACCTCTACTTCTCCTTGAGCCTATGCTTACAGGATATGGGGCGCTGTGTTCTGATGAAGCTCAGGATTCCAAATATTCCTGTCTTTAATTCTCAATGACCTTCATGAATTATATAACATGTTTTGAACTGAAAATCTGTCTTTCCTGGATATGTCCTCAGATATATCCAATGCCAATGGACTCACTAAGCTCAAGTGAGCAGGGGCTGGAGGCCTGGCGTATTAGTTACTTTTCTGTTGCTGTGAAAGAAACACCATGACCAAGGGAACTTATAAAAGAAGAGTTTATTTGGCTTATGGTTCCAAAGGATCAAGAGTCCTGTCCATGATGGCGGGGAGGCATGGTGACAGCGGTGGCTGGAGTGGGAGTGGAAGCTAAGCTTTACATTTTCAAGCAGACACAGGAAGAAGAGAGCGACTGGAGATCTGGCAAGGTTTAAGAACTCTCTAGGCCCGCCTCCAGTGACATGCTTCCTCCAGCATGGCCATACCTTCTAAGACCTCCCAAAGCAGTGCCATCAACTAAGGACAAAATGTCCAAATACTTGGAGCCTGTGGGGGACATTTTCATTCAAACCACCACACCTGGGAACTCACTTGGCTTGAGCAATCTTAGAGTTGGTGTAAAGTCAGAAACATAACTGACCACAGTGCAACATGTGTAAATAATTAGTAAAACCAGGCGGTATCAAAAACTTCATAATTTATACTTTTAAATTTTAATAAAGTGATTTATTAAAATGGAGGTAGTCACTAGAAACACAAAAATTGTACAGTTTGATGATGAATCGTTTTTTCTTGTATATTTGAGGCTAACCAGGGCCAAGTTAAAACCCGTGGAACTGTGTGCATTTGAAGAATTGGTCATACTATTGATACTTGTTTGAATTTCCGAAGTTGCAATTTATAAGTTGTCAAGTGTTGAATATTTTTTTCAGATGATTTGAAAGAAAAACTGGACTACCAACTGGAATTTTTTCGGGGAAAGGTTAAATTAATAAGAAACACAAAGAGAGAGGGGCTCATTCGATCAAGGGTGATCGGCGCATCCCGGGCTTCAGGTATGAGCGCTCCTTCAGGTCAGGATCACCAGATCCTGCTTGCTACTTTCTTGTTGCTGAGTTCAAGCACCTGATAAGAAGCAATTTACAGGAGGAAGGGTTGTTTGGGCTCAGAGTTTGAGGGTAGACCACAGTCCATCATGGCAAAGAACCCATGGCAGGAGGGAGGGGAAGGTAGCTGGCCACATCGTGTCTACTGTTAGGAAACAGAGAATGAACAGGAAGTGGGACTGGGCTTTAAGACCTCAAGGCCTGCCCCCAGTGACTCAAGTCCTCCAACAAGTCTCCAGCGCCTAAAGGTTCCATAACAGTCCAAACAGTGCCAACTGGGGCCTTGTGAAGACATTTCACATTCTAACCACAACTGTGACAGGGAGACTTTTTCTTACCATGCAGGAAAAATGCTCTCAGAGACCCTCCATGTCACAGCTTGAGTCTTTGATCTTCCATTGCCTTTGAAGGTGTTTTGCTCCAAAATGCCCATGTCATTTCAAATGAAAGACTTTTACAAAGGCCCGGTGTCAGCCTCCATCCGGGCTGAGTTCTCTCCTCCCCATGGACTCTGAGATGGAGTTTTATTTAAATTTTAGAAGGATATTAAGGTAGGTTCAGAGAAAGGTACTGAGATAACCGTCCTTTGGAGTAGTGTATTGGGAAAACTGTAGCATCCTTCCCACACAACAGTGAAGGGACCCTGAGGGAAGAGTCCTCCGTTCTGGGAAAAGGAAGGGAATTTCTTGCTGGCGGAGGTTTCCAAGGGTGGAGAGGTTCCACACCATGTGATCTAGCAGGACTCACCAGGCAGGAAGGCACCACATAAGGAAAAGTATAATTCAAGGTGGTCTTGGACTCAGGCAACTACAAGGCGGGTGGGAGAAAGACTGTTTGGACGGTGGCTGCAGGGGCCATAACCTGATCAGTGAGGCCTTGGCTCCTTATCTAATGCTGGGTAGGAGACCCAGAGGGCCCATGTGTGTGTACAGAAGTGACGAGGGCAAGCCTGGGAAGGTGGGCTGCCATGTGCTCGGCTCTTGGCCTCAGAGGGTCCCCAGATGCATTTCATTTATACAGATGACCATGGGTCTGCACCCCCTTAAGGCACATCTTCCCTCCCCCTTCTTTCTGTCTCCCTCAATACGAACTGCATCTATGTTCGAAAGTATAATTGGTTTATAATTCTTTTTCTGTACTGTTTTCTGATACTTTGCTTCACCAGAGTCATGGAATGGATTACATGGTTTTATCTTTTTTATGTGAACACCAACATAAAAACAGAAATTGTGGGGCCGGAAGATGGCTCAGTGATTAAGAGCACTCACTGCTCTTGCAGAGGACCTGGGGTAGATTCCCAGCACCCGCATGGCGGCTACGAACCGTCCTTAACTCCAGTTCCAGGGGAATCCGAAGCCCTCTTCTGACCCCCTCAGCATTGTGCAACACGGGTGCACTCACTTACATGCAGGCAATACACTCATACACATAAAATTAAAAAAATTTAAAAAAGACAGAGATTGTATTAATGCTACATAAAATTGGTCTGTGGACTATCCAAGCACTGGTATTTTGTCTAGTTTTCCTTTGATCTAGTTTTTTAAGTAGTACAAGTGAAAGTCTCCAAGCTTTAAAGGAATCTTTAAAATTGCAACTGTTTATTAGCAGCTTAGTTGTGTTGTGGTTAGACATTTGGTATTTGTGAGAATTCATGTTCTCTGCTTCAACTGGACAATGTGATCAGCCGTCTCAGCTTTCTGCTGCCCTGCCTTCCCCATGGCAATGGGCTGTGTCCCCTAGAACTGTGAGCCACAATAAACTCTTCCTCCTTCACGAAGGAAGGAAGGAAGGAAGGAAGGAAAAAGAAATTGGGTGTTTGTGTCTTGAAGTGAGATCTATTTTTCAAAACTTCTAACTATAGTTTTAACAATGTATATTCTCTTTCTTGCTCTATGTTCTTTCATATATATATATATATATATAATGTTATGTTAAAATATTCAACTATTATTGTAAACTTGTTCATCTGTTGCTTATTTCTTTCCCTGGGCTCGCTATATGTCCATCTACATTTGCCTCCTTGTTTCCCTACCCCACTGATGTTGGGGGCTGCCTGAGCCAAGTGTGCCTCCCCCTAGAAGCTGTGGGGTCCTGGTGTGTCATTAATGGTTTGTCAGTTCATCCAATCAAGGATTGATCTGTGGCCTGTGGTGTGCTGTCCCTGTACATTTACTCTTCTCTAACTTCGTCTTTGGTCAACCCTATGGAGAAGCAATCACCATGAGACAGACAGCACCCACTGTGCATGGATGTGGCTCTCATACAACGTATGAGGGTTTGTGTTTGTGACTGCACTGTCCTCCTGAACAGCTGACATTTGCACTATTGTGAACTGAGGGGCTTGCAAAAAGAAGGGATGTTTTAAGAGACAAGATGAGAAGAATGTTGTGATCAGATGGCATTGACCCAAAGGAAAGGGATTATCATCATCATTGTTATAATTTTATTATTTGACAATGTCACGCACATACACAATGAATGTTGATGTTTTCACACATCCCCATTACCATCTCTCCTTCCCACCATTCTCCCCTTCTTCCCAATAATCCTCAACCTCCTTTCATGTTCTTGTGTGTGTGTGACCCACTGAGTTTAATTATGAGCGTGTTGCGGTAATTCACTGAAGCAGGGGTAACTTATCAGTGGCGACATCACTGAGGAAAATGGCACTCTCTCTTCCAGCAACCATTAACTGCGTACAGTGCCTCAGGGAGGGGTGAGGCCTCATGAGCCTTCCCCTGTCCACAACGGAAACTGATGGACCAGGTCTTGCAGAGGTCTTATGCAAGTACCCACAGCTCCAGTGAGCTCCTGAGTGCAATGGCCATGTCGTGTCTAGAAGTCAGTGTGCCACAGCCCTTCTCCCCAACCTCTGGCTCTTCCATTTTTCCCATTCCCTCTTCCACAATGTCCCCTGAGCCTTGGAGGGGTGACATAGACGTCTCACCAAGAACCCAACACTCAACAGTCATTTATTCTCTGCACTTTGACCAGTGGTGAGTCTCTGTATTAACTGTCACCCACTACAACTGAGGAAGACTGAAAGCAGGTTAGTCTACAGGTATAAAATAAGTGTTTAAAAGGCATTTCGACAACATGTCTAGGTCACAAAACAATAGCAGTGAGTTTCCCCTCTAAGGCCTATGACCTCCCTAGTCTCAGACTCTTGACCAGGTCTACAGTACTAGGCATGCGTTCCCTCCCTGAAGTGGGCCTCATATCCATTCAGAAAGTGGCTGGAAAGTGAGGAAACTGACCTCAAATGAGGACCCTGTGGGAGGGAAAGGGGCGACCCATGGTGGAAGAAGAGGTTTCAAGAAATAAATTCTTGAACTTTGAGGTCCAGTGTGTGAATCATATTATATACTTTGACCACATGAATTCTTCACTGTGGCCAGGCCAGTCATTGCCATGAGCTCTAAACACAATGGACCTTCATTAAAGCTTTCATTCAAGAGCACAATTATGCATCCCCAGTGCTAAACCCAACACCCAAGAGGACATCCTCTCAGGAAAACAAAAAGAAATTGCTAAATGAAGCTTATCAGTGAAGGCTGAGCTAAAATGACTTGTGTATGTGTGTGTACATGTGTGTGCATATGCACATGCATATGCATGTATGCACACTTGTGAGGTGTGAAGGGTGAATGCCAAAGGTCAGACAGACTGCAGGTGTCATTTCTCAGACAGTGACTTTTCTTTAAAGCAGGGTCTCTCTCACTAGCCTGGAACTCATCAAGTAGCCTAGGTAGACTGGCCAGGAAGCCCCAGGGATCCACCTGTCCCCAACTCCCTAATGCTGGGATTTTAACCACAGACCTCCACCTCAAGTTTTTGTTGTTTTGATTTTTAAATGTGAGCGCTGGGGATTGAACTCAGGTTCCCATGTTTGTAAGGCAAGCACTTTACTGACTGAGCTATCTCCCCAGCCCCTAAAATGATCTTTGGAAATGAAGGTTCTGCTCAGCTCCAATGATGCTCTCTTAGGGTTTTCCTCAGGTCACCCTCTAACCTGCAGCTCATCAGCTTCCTCTAAATATCCAGGTGTGTGGGGTCTCACCTTTCTGGACACAGTAATATATATTTTCTCATTCCCCCCAACGTACCTGAGAAACTAAGCACATAGGAAATACTTAATGAATATTCATTGCGTCTGACTTGGATTTGGGTTGGATGTATTTGCTTCCAGGAGGACCTACATTAATCTGCTCTTGCCTCCCCAGGGGACATCTTGGTGTTCTTGGATAGCCACTGTGAGGTAAATAAAGTGTGGCTGGAGCCCTTGCTGCATGTCATCGCTAAGGACCCCAAAATAGTGGTGTGCCCTGTGATCGATGTCATCGACGAAATGACCCTGGAGTATAAGACGTCTCCTGTTGTAAGGGGAGCTTTTGGCTGGGACCTGAAATTTAAATGGGACCATGTTTTCTCATATGAGATGGACGGACCAGAAGGACCGAGTACACCCATCCGGTGAGGTTCTTCTGCTTTGGGGGACTTTAGGGAAGATGTTTGGATGCTTTCTTTTGCTACTTGTTTCTTAAAACATGGAATGCCAGAAATTGGTAGATACTAAGTTGGTTCAAGTGACACTGGGCCTTGCCCTTTCCCCCACCCCTGTTGATGATGCCATCATCATCATCATCATCATCATCATCATCATCATCATCATTTTAAGATAGGGTCTCCCTGTAGCCTCAGCTGGCCTGAAACTTGCTATGCAGAGCAGGATGGCCTGATCTCACAGACATCCACCTGCCTCTGCCTACCCAGTGCTGGAATTAAAGGAGTGTACCACCACTCCTGGTTTCTAATGCCCTGATTTCTAATGCCCATCTTGTCTATATGTTGATGATTGTATATGAACTTGGGTACATATACATGTGCACACGTGTGCACATGTGGAGGTCAGAGGACACTCTTGGGGGTGTCACTCCTCAGGAGCTATCCAGTCTCTCACTTATCTGGCACTTATCAAACAGTAGGCTGGTCGGCCAATGAGCCTTAGGGATCTACTTATCTCTGTATTCTCAACATGGGGATCACAAGTGTGTGCCACCACACCCAGATTTTTTTTACATGAATTCTGGGGATCAAACCTAGGTCCTCATGCCTACAGGCAAACCCTTTACTGACTGAGCCATCTCCCCAGTTTCTAACATCCATCTTTTGAGTTCAGGAGTTGTTTGCTGACCAAGGAGCAAACTGTCATTATTAGAAAGGGGACGACTTTGCCAAATCCACAGGCTGAGAGGACCCTGATCCTCCTAGTTCCTTAGTGTTAGATACTGTATTTGCAAATGTGTAAGCAGTTGAGTTAACATTTAGCAGGCCCCATGTTTCCTTGCAACTCTGATTTCAGATCCTCTTCTCTTGCTATTAACCCATTTGTTTCAGGCAAGATGGCTGGATTTTCTAGCACTGCAGCCCCTCATGTCCCTCATGGACACTGTGATGGTTAATCCTGGGTGTCAACTTGACTGGATCTGGGATTAACTGAAAGAAAAGAGATCTTCTTGATTGGATCATCTGAAGCTGGAAGACACACCCTAAATGTGGGTGTTACCTTCTGATGGCAGCCCATATAAAAGGCCAAGGCAGAGGAGAACACCTGGCTTCTTGCTGCTTGCCTTCTCTCTCGCTGGTGAGTTCGTCTTCCTGCTGTAGACTGAAGACTAGCTGATCTTTTGGAATTTGTTGGACCTTCAGCACCAGATTGGGACTACTGAGACATCCAGCCTTGTGGACTGAGTGATTCTCAGCCTCTCCAGTGTGGTACAGCCATTGTTGGACTACTCGGACTCTATCCTGTGAGCTAAGCTGATAAATCTCTATACATATATATTCATTCTACCGATTCTGTTTCTTTGTATATATATTCATTCTACTTATTCTGTTTCTTTGGAGAACCCTGACTGATACAGGAACCTTTGAGCTCATTAGCAGAGCGGTGCAGTCTTGTGGTCATGATGTTCCCACACTTGTCTCCTTATGTGTAACTTCTGGGAACAGGGTGGTGAGGCTCAAATGTGTAAACAGTGTCTCCTTTGTGTGTTCTGTCATCTCCTGGACTCTCATCTCAGCACTACTGGACACGACACCCTGTCTAGAAACACAGCCCCGAGTCTCCCCATCTCCTGCCTGCTCTGCCCTCCCACACCACTCAGCTCTGCAGATTTTTCATGTCTCTCTTTCCTTCCTCCTCACCTTTTCATGGCCTTGGCCTTCTCAGCGATCCATCTTCCTTCCTCTTGCCAACACCCCAGTGGCTGCATCCCAACTACCACACTGCACATCCCACCACACTGCGCATCTCACCACACTGCACCACCCTGCGCATCCCACCCCAGTGCACATCCCACCACACTGCGCCTCTCACCACACTGCACCACCCTGCGCATCCCACCCCAGTGCACATCCCACCACACTGCGCCTCTCACCACACTGCACCACCCTGCGCATCCCACCCCAGTGCACATCCCACCACACTGCGCCTCTCACCACACTGCACCACCCTGCGCATCCCACCCCAGTGCACATCCCACCACACTGCGCCTCTCACCACACTGCACCACCCTGCGCATCCCACCCCAGTGCACATCCCACCACACTGCGCCTCTCACCACACTGCACCACCCTGCGCATCCCACCCCAGTGCACATCCCACCACACTGCGCCTCTCACCACACTGCACCACCCTGCGCATCCCACCCCAGTGCACATCCCACCACACTGCGCCTCTCACCACACTGCACCACCCTGCGCATCCCACCCCAGTGCACATCCCACCACACTGCGCCTCTCACCACACTGCACCACCCTGCGCATCCCACCCCAGTGCACATCCCACCACACTGCGCCTCTCACCACACTGCACCACCCTGCGCATCCCACCCCAGTGCACATCCCACCACACTGCGCCTCTCACCACACTGCACCACCCTGCGCATCCCACCCCAGTGCACATCCCACCACACTGCGCCTCTCACCACACTGCACCACCCTGCGCATCCCACCCCAGTGCACATCCCACCACACTGCGCCTCTCACCACACTGCACCACCCTGCGCATCCCACCCCAGTGCACATCCCACCACACTGCGCCTCTCACCACACTGCACCACCCTGCGCATCCCACCCCAGTGCACATCCCACCACACTGCGCCTCTCACCACACTGCACCACCCTGCGCATCCCACCCCAGTGCACATCCCACCACACTGCGCCTCTCACCACACTGCACCACCCTGCGCATCCCACCCCAGTGCACATCCCACCACACTGCGCCTCTCACCACACTGCACCACCCTGCGCATCCCACCCCAGTGCACATCCCACCACACTGCGCCTCTCACCACACTGCACCACCCTGCGCATCCCACCCCAGTGCACATCCCACCACACTGCGCCTCTCACCACACTGCACCACCCTGCGCATCCCACCCCAGTGCACATCCCACCACACTGCGCCTCTCACCACACTGCACCACCCTGCGCATCCCACCCCAGTGCACATCCCACCACACTGCGCCTCTCACCACACTGCACCACCCTGCGCATCCCACCCCAGTGCACATCCCACCACACTGCGCCTCTCACCACACTGCACCACCCTGCGCATCCCACCCCAGTGCACATCCCACCACACTGCGCCTCTCACCACACTGCACCACCCTGCGCATCCCACCCCAGTGCACATCCCACCACACTGCGCCTCTCACCACACTGCACCACCCTGCGCATCCCACCCCAGTGCACATCCCACCACACTGCGCCTCTCACCACACTGCACCACCCTGCGCATCCCACCCCAGTGCACATCCCACCACACTGCGCCTCTCACCACACTGCACCACCCTGCGCATCCCACCCCAGTGCACATCCCACCACACTGCGCCTCTCACCACACTGCACCACCCTGCGCATCCCACCCCAGTGCACATCCCACCACACTGCGCCTCTCACCACACTGCACCACCCTGCGCATCCCACCCCAGTGCACATCCCACCACACTGCGCCTCTCACCACACTGCACCACCCTGCGCATCCCACCCCAGTGCACATCCCACCACACTGCGCCTCTCACCACACTGCACCACCCTGCGCATCCCACCCCAGTGCACATCCCACCACACTGCGCATCCCACCACACTGTGCATCCCACCACACTGCACCACACTGCGCATCCCACCACACTGCACCATACTGCACATCCCACCACACTGCACCACACTGTACATCCTACCACACTGCACATCCCACCGCACTGTGCATCCCACCACACTGCACCACACTGCACATCCCACCACACTGCACCACACTATACATCCTACTACACTGCACATCCCACCACACTGCACATCCCACCACACTGCGCATCTCACCACACTGCACCACACTGCGCATCCCACCACACTGCACCACACTATACATCCTACTACACTGCACATCCCACCACACTGCACATCCCACCACACTGCGCATCTCACCACACTGCACCACACTGCGCATCCCACCACACTGCACCACACTATACATCCTACTACACTGCACATCCCACCACACTGCACATCCCACCACACTGCGCATCTCACCACACTGCACCACACTGCGCATCCCACCACACTGCACCACACTATACATCCTACTACACTGCACATCCCACCACACTGCACATCCCACCACACTGCGCATCTCACCACACTGCACCACACTGCGCATCCCACCACACTGCACCACACTATACATCCTACTACACTGCACATCCCACCACACTGCACATCCCACCACACTGCGCATCTCACCACACTGCACCACACTGCGCATCCCACCACACTGCACCACACTATACATCCTACTACACTGCACATCCCACCACACTGCACATCCCACCACACTGCGCATCTCACCACACTGCACCACACTGCGCATCCCACCACACTGCACCACACTATACATCCTACTACACTGCACATCCCACCACACTGCACATCCCACCACACTGCGCATCTCACCACACTGCACCACACTGCGCATCCCACCACACTGCACCACACTATACATCCTACTACACTGCACATCCCACCACACTGCACATCCCACCACACTGCGCATCTCACCACACTGCACCACACTGCGCATCCCACCACACTGCACCACACTATACATCCTACTACACTGCACATCCCACCACACTGCACATCCCACCACACTGCGCATCTCACCACACTGCACCACACTGCGCATCCCACCACACTGCACCACACTATACATCCTACTACACTGCACATCCCACCACACTGCACATCCCACCACACTGCGCATCTCACCACACTGCACCACACTGCGCATCCCACCACACTGCACCACACTATACATCCTACTACACTGCACATCCCACCACACTGCACATCCCACCACACTGCGCATCTCACCACACTGCACCACACTGCGCATCCCACCACACTGCACC